TCGCCTAGTCGCCCACGATTTCCCATTTCAGTATTCAGGATGTCATTCAGTCGCTTTTCCAGGCGAAGATCGACAACAATTTCCCCAGAAATTTTCCGGGAAACTTCGAAGGAATAAGCCAACTATATCACTTGGGATAAGCCTTGATTTCTGCTTTGGAAAGCTGGATCCAGGCTGGACAGAATGGCACGACAGAGACTGGCCGAGCTACCCGAAAGCAGCCGCGAACTCCAGGGGGCGTGATCCGAAAATCACGTGGGTTTGGTTCGAAGTAGTCCTAAGGTCCTGCCAACATAAGTGGATTGGAACCACACTTAACCAGCTCCAGCTACGATGATATGGGGTGATCCTCCAAGTTCTGGTGAACATGAGCCAAAAACGATTGAGTGGACGACTGTTGACACGCATGGTTGGTTTCCCCTTGGATAACGCTGTCTTGGTGGACTAGCGACTAAGCAGGATAGATTGCTTGGAGCCATGACAATGTGATATGTTGTATCTCGCCCGCAAAGTAGACTTGACTCAGTAAAGAGGATATCTTTACCAACATGACAATCCCATATGTGCCAAAACGATGAGGATTTAATCCGCAAAATTGGATTTATGGTTGACCAACAAAACAGGGTTTAATAATGGATTGAACTGTTGATCGCCATTCAGAGTGTTTGAAACTCGAGCCTCATCCCGGATCCACTGAGAAAAAGGAGTGGTGTTGCCGCGGGTGATTCCGACCCCTTCCAAGGGCATGTGCTCTATGCGAACATGACTCGCTGCGAATGTGTTCTAGCTTAGGAACGCACGCAGCATAGAAATGTGCATGCGGCATACTTGAAACTACCAACTCTAAAGCTGGAAAGTGAACATCTTCGGGAGAATCATCAATCATTGGATACCACAAAGCCAGAGAATACCTCCACTGATAAATCCAAGAATCACAGGCATTGCTCTCCAATTCCTGGGATCGCGGCTCCCCGCAATGGACCAAGATGGACCCTTTGGGGACCACAGATTTCCCTAGTTCCTATGCACTTTCGAAATGTATAACCCTCTGGTAGTTTGTCACTTTGCGAACGCCATGGCTTCCAGTGAACTTAGTCATTACCAGGGGGTAAGCAGCCGACTTCATCCCGCTACAGCCTTTTTTCGCTGGGTACATCCTCGTGAAATCCCATGAAAAATCCTCACGAACAAATATGTGAACACATATAGAAAATATTCCATGAACATTTTCAAGCATTTACATCATTAAACCATCAAAATATGAAGCATCCCATTTCGGTACCCCAATAGCAACTGATAAATTAATAAAACTTACCCATTCCCAACAGTTGCGACTTGCGCGAGGTCGGCAACAAGCGATGCAGCGCTTCAATCCGGGACCTGAGGTGGACATTTGAAGGAAGAAATGTATAGTGTGCATATAGCAAAGGCCAGTGAAAAGGTATACTTGGATTACTTGGTGGCTCATCCCACTTACTAAGTAGATTATATCCCTGGTTATAAGTGGGATAAATAGGGATAATCCACGTATGACTAGGGTTATAACCTACTTAGTAAGTGGGATGAGCCACCAGGTACACTTCTGCTAGATTTTTAGTGGCAAACGAGTAACATCTATCTTTTTTGGGGCTTAGTATAGATGAAATATCAATCAAATCACGTGAAATCATGACATCAATACGAAAACGTCCGTTCAACCCCTAGGAGACCTTTCTTCCAGGGACGCTCTTCCGTGGAATCAAAGCATCCTTGGAGCAGGGACTTTTGAGGCGAACAAAATCCCTGGATTTCTTGGATCTCCCCATTGGAACGAGGTGCCGGAGTCGGACTTTCCCAAGCTCTTCGTGTCCTTCCTGAAGCGTTTTCGGCCCAAGGCATCAAATATGTGGGATCTTGGGGGAAGGCCCAAAATCTTGGGAAATATGTGGATACACACATGGGAAAACTATGGATATATGATATAATGATATATATATATATACACATATGGGATATTGGAAGATCATGTGCTTTGAGCGATTGTTATTTTTTTTCAGAATGGTTGAAAGGTGGATTTTGAAAGGGCCATGGTAATATTGTATGGTGGATTGTTGTGCGTCTCTCATTATATGAATGTCATATGTGGGCGTATCTCATTAGATGATGCATATAGACGGATCTCTACGTACTATCAAGACTGATAGGGTGTAGAATCAAGATGTGGTAGCTTTGCGGACCTATTTAGGAGAAAGTTTCAAGCTTTTTGACTTTTTGATTTTGAGGCTCCAAATTGCTTCTTCAGAAAGAAACAGACTAGTCAAGAACAAAGCCAGGGCCAGATGGGTCACATCGCAGTTGAAAGCAATGTCAAATCTGTTGGTAATGTTTTTTGAAGCTATGACCTGCTCATTTCCTGCGATTCGTTTGGATCATGATCAGGAGGGGCTTCCACCCCCAAGTTTCACACATACCCAAGGAGGGAGATGACCATGAGGAGGCTGGCGAAACCGGCGAGGGGATCACCCTAAACCCCACAGACATAGACCCTGAAAATCGACTCAAAATAGCAACTTTTTTAGTAGAAACTCATTTTCCAACCCCTATTTGGCAGAGTCTATGTTCCATGACTCGAGGGGTAACCTATGAATTTCAGTTTTGAGTCAATGATTTTCGTCACTGGATTGGCTCAGACGAAAGTGTACAGGCAATTATTTAAAGAAACAATGCTTTTTGTTGTTTTCCGTGGGACCAATTTTTGGATTATGGGTTCGAAATTGCAAATGAAACGGTCTCGAATTCGGCGATGACCACTGGTGGTTTCGGGGAAATTCTGAAGAACCGATCTGAGAAAACTGGCGTGGTCACGTGCTACCGCCCTTTAATTGCTAGATTTCTTTTTGCTTTGCTAGATACCATGCGTTTGCACAGCTCTTTTCACAGGTTCTTGTACGTCTTTTCGAGACTATTCTCCAGGAACAGCAGGTCCTGTAGAATTTCTCATTTTCATCACCGTGATCATCCACCTACCAAACCCACATTCACGTTTGCAAACTCGCTGCAACCTCTTTTCAACATGATGCAAACTACCAGGCTCCAGCACCCAATGCTGGATCATCCCATGTAGGTCTGAAAGAGGCGATGGGCAAGTTTTTCCCCAGCTGTTCCCAGCTGTTGCCCGTTTTTCTTGGTCGAATTCGCTCTTTCCGAGCAGTACAGTTCCACAGTTCGGAGCCCTGAGCGGGCCCTCATTTGCCTCCATTTTTCCTTAAGATTTCCAGCGAGATCAGATGACCAGAGTGGTATTTGGGTATTTGATGGACAAGTGGGGTTTCGCCGCAAGGCAGTGATGAATTGCTTTTGTAGAAATGGTCCCCCAATACTCCGATCAGAAGCTCCAAATCTTGCTGGTGAAATTCAAATGCACCGATTTTTTGTTGGCTGAAGCCCCAATCATGCTGCTTGAATCCCCCTATTTTGCTGGCTAAGTGGGTGTGTCTGAAAATCTGGGATATCCCAGACTTGATGGTGTATCATCATTTTCCCATATTTTCCCTATGAAGATTGCCATGTTGGAGAACCCAAATCCCCTGAACATAGCGGAAATCATAGTCCCAGCCGGGCATTCCGAAGTACCACCACTGTCAGGGTGGCAAAGGCAGTTCCACCTCTCCGTCGTTCGGAGACCAAGCGGCAGGTGCTTTTCTTTGACCAAAAAACGGCTGGATTTGGCCCGAACCTATGGCATTCTTAACTGGAAAAATCATTTTTAAATGGATCATACTTTTCCACATTGAAATGGCGCTTTAAGGGTATCCCCCAATTTTGGACAAAAGCATATGGGGATGCAATCAACCTGTGGCCAGAGTAAAACAACCTACCTTAAAAGCTCCGGGGGGAGTCTCCCATGAAGGGATTTGCCGCAAGGGGTTTACTTTCCGCCGAGGGCACCAGGATCCAGTGAGGATCCAGCTGAGGCGCCGAAGGGCCAAAGATGAAAAACCCGCCCGGCCTCCACCGGAGCGTCGCGATTCCAGCGCCTCCGAGGCTGAGATGAGTCTGGGGATCCAGGAAAGCTGTGACAGCTCTTACAGCTGTGACGGGGAAGTGCCACGGGTCATACCCTCTGGTAAACTAACATAACTATGGAAAATCACCATGTTTAATGGGAAAATCCACTATAAATGGCCATTTTCAATAGCTATGTTAAATTACCAGAGGGTAAGTGTGGTGACTCATGACATTTCATGTTATGAAGTTGGTTGCCCTTTCATCAGATCAAAAAACTTGGGAGAGCCACGAAAAAAAACCCAGCCGCGCCAAAGATGAGGATTGACGAACAGAAATCATGACTTCTGCGAAATGATCCTTAAACATGAACTGACACTTCGGGTTTTCCGAACATTTTTCCTTCCCAGATGCCAGAGGAGTATGAAAAATCATATTTTCCTCAAAATATATCAGACCCTCAGGATGGTCTGATGAATGCCTTGATTCATTGTGGATTTTTTCAGCCCAATGGTGATTTCAGGTGATTCGGTGGACCAGACTCTGACATGGTACGGTCCCCCCATCCAACCCTATGATGGAGGATATGGATCATCATGGATCATCATGGATCATCATGGATCATCATGGATCATCATGGATCATCATGGATCACCATGTTTGTATGCCATTGGTATACATTAACCATCATTAACCATATATATATTATATATATACCTATGACTTTTAGATCAAATATTGCCAGAGCAGTTCTATACCCATCACCCATTTTCCCACTCAGCTTTTTCTGTTTTCTCAAAACGATTTGACCAAAAACGGCTGAAAATAGGCTACCCGAGTTTTGTGATCATGGTCTAAAACATAATATTTTTTTTCCTACAAACAATACCATATTTTGATAGCCTCTGGTAAATTGAACAGTTTGCGAACTAGAACATCACCAGTTTAAGCAGGTAAGCAGGTATTGTACATCGGACTAAATGGGCCATAGCTTCCAGTTCGCAAAGTGTAACAAATTACCGGAGGGTAGACCCCATTTTATCGCCATGATTGCTGGGTATGTCCGTATTAAATCCCATGAAATTCCATAAAATGTCCATTCCATCCCCAGTTACTGATACTTAAATCCCCATTATGTCACCAAACATCCCAGTAAATCCCAACAAAAATCCTATTGAAGCCCATGAATTCCCATGAAATCCCATGAAATTCTATGAATTCCCATTGAATCCCATCAACTCCCATTAAAGATATGAAAGCTACGTCACATTTCCACTGGGCACCCAAGGTAAGGTGCCCTTCTATCACAGTCCCGGCTCGACGCCGCGCAGCTTTGATGGGGTGCCTGTCGGGCAGCCGGCTTTTTTTTTGGGGGGCATTCTGCAGATTCCCAAGCTGAAAGGATCTGAAAGGTGGGTGATTTGTTTTTTTTTGGTTGGATTCCGATTTTTTTTTGATTTGGAATCCGATTTTTTTTGAAGATTCCGATGCTGTACTTGGCCCATTCTTTCGGAGATGGGGCAGGGGCTCTGCGGGTGCGAAAGATTGAATTGAGAGTTTGGGGTTCTTATTCTTATTCTTACACTTCTAGATCAACAGTCTTGATGCTGTTGCTTTACTTCGATATTCTGAAGCTCAGAACAGCGTCCGGAAAAAGGGACAGCCTACTGGGTTGCTACAGATCCCTTCATGCAGCCTGCTGTGCAGGGTAACAGTCCGCAGCACAGAGTGATGCAGGACCGGGGCGGGTCTGTGTTTGGAAATACTGGCACATGATTGGATGTTTATATCATTTATATCTAATCCACTTAGCAATTGATTAATTCATTTCAGGACTGTATGTAACAGACTTTGAACTGGAATGCCCCAGTACATGAGGCTCCAGTGAGGGGACTTATTTCTCAGGAGTGTTGAACAAGTAGACGTTTCCAATTTCAATTCGTGTGGGGAGTGGTTACCCTAGGATGAACAGCTTCTGGTGCCAGTCTGGTGCCAGCTTCTGCTGAATTCAGCCTGCAGAGTTTCCCCGTAGCCTTCGGCAGCACAGGCAGTACGATTTGTCATTTTGACTTAAAAAGCAGTCAATGCTTTGGGCACCCAGTTTTGACTTGTAGTTACGTTCAGGGGTCAAAGGATAGAAAGCAAGTGACTATGAATTGAATATATCCGATTTCCCAGATAGCGAGAGCTATTGGGGTTCTTACTTGAAGTATAAGAAGAGTTGCCTGAACGGGCTTTGGAACCTGGATGCTGGTGCTGCTGCCAAGAAACTGCCTTTGGTTGCTCCCCAAGAATATCTTTTGCTATCTGGGGTCTACGCTGGTGTATTTTTCTAGATTCTATATACATGTACATATACAGTATACATATTTTTCCCTTGATGTTTCCTAGCTTCAGTCCCCATGGTGCTCTATCGTTGGGTTTTCACTTCCTTGGGATGCTTCATGGCTTCTGTGTAGGACTTTGGCATGCCGAGCCCACCGTCTGCGGGGCTGGGGTGCTCAGAAGCAGTGGCACCAGCGGACCGTTGGGGGTTTGATCAACCGTGTTTTTGGGGATTTGGGAGGTCATTTCCCAGTTGGAGATGGGCATTTGAATCATTTGACCTAGCTGTTTTGATTCTGAAACCCACCAGAGGGTGGGTGAGGAAAATCCCCCCATGCCCAAATGGCAAGAATGCTACACATTGCCAAAGAGTGCCCCAATTGGAGGAGAACATGTGCAAGATTCATTGGCTTTGCACCACAATTTTATGTGTTTACACACACACATATATATATATCTGCCCAAGACGGTGGGTTCGCCGTCGGTTGAACATGAAAATTTCTAATCAAAAGCTTTGCAAATGATCTTGTCAGCGAACATTTTTTTTCTGGTTTGAAACAATCGCGAGGTGCCATGTTTAGCACCCCGCTCGTGAGATCCTTGCGAAATTGTGCAAGGGCATTTATCACAGTCACCAGGCCAGGTTTCCCTTGCAAAGCGGCTGCAGCCATAACTTCCACTGTTTTTTTTTGTGCGAAGTTTTGTTGAATCTTCCCTGTTTGTTTTGGCATCGCAAGGTAGCAACATCTTTAGCAACACCTTCAATGTAGCAACCTCTTCAACATCTTCAACGCAGCAACATCTTCAACATCTTCAACATCTTCATCGTAACAACATCTTCAGCATAGCAACATCATCAAAGTAGCAACATCTTCAACATCTTCAACGTAGCAACATCTTCAACATCTTCAACATCTTCATCGTAACAACATCTTCAACATAGCAACATCATCAAAGTAGCAACATCTTCAACATCTTCAACGTAGCAACATCTTCAACATCTTCAGGGAATACAAGTTGAATTGGACGTTATCAGCCCCACCCCACCCCACTCCATCCCCATGCGTGACGTGCACTAGCGTAGCATGAAGTGCGTGTACTACTGCAAGAGAACGTCCAAGAGCGTCGCATGACGTGGGAATACAAGTCCAATTGGACGTTATCAGCCCCACCCCACCCCAACCCACCTCACCGTACACGCGTAAAATGATGCAATGCAAAGAAAACAACTAGAAGACACACACACACACACAAATTCGATTCCACCTAATTCCGCACACATGCGCGCAAAACATACGACGCCATCGAGCAAAAACCATGCAATGTGCATTTTGACCCAAAAAACAAAGTATTTTTGGAACCGTCAAGATGACAGAGAACAACGACACAACACGCAAGTAGACACTGTGCGCAGGCGGCGAACCCACTGTCTTTCGGGTATATATATATATATGTATAGACATACATATACATACACACTGTATGTATATATAATTATATATATATATACAAATAGACACATATTTACTAGTAAACTAAGCACACATACATATACATATCATATCGACATCAATATCGATACAATTTCTGCATATCTCTACGTTTGTGTTTTTGTGTGTATGTCACTGTATGTCTCTATATGTATATATATAATATTATATGCATAAATATACGCGCACACACACACATACACACTAAAAAAGAAATGAATCACTGAAGTGATCCGTCGGGAACTGAATCCCAAAACTGCAACTAAACAAGATTGTTGATGTAAGGTAGAGTTGTGGTTCTTGGGTTAGCCACATCCCATGTCGAGAAATTGAAACGCTTTGCAGGTACGTCGGGATGATCAGTCCCGATATCACAATCTCAAACCACCGTCTTCGTTGGGCAGTGGATGGAATGAGATTCACTGCCCCCCTGCATCAACAAGCAGTACGAAAAGATAGAGGTTTTTCATCGGTTCAGATGTTACTTACACACACACACCCAGCCGAAGCCGGGTCTACCCTGAAAGGCAAGAGGAAGAAAAAAGCGGACACCAACGACGGGCAAACGGACAGAACAGCGCCAGGGGGGGAGGGGAACAAACGGACCTCCAAAACCAACCTACACGGAGAAACGGACCTAACCAGCACAGAGCACACACCTAAACCCCACGACACATTTTTCAGGGGGCACGGGGGATAATTAGGTTCCAAATGGGGAGCTAGTTGATGAAGAAAGGTGAAACAACAAAATTATTAAAGGGGTTCAGTGCCTAGAAAGAAAGTCATGCGTTACTCCCTCGAAGGGACGGTAGTCGGTCAAACCCATAAATGGGCATTAAACGGCTGTTCAAGTTCACGTGAATTAGGCGCACGAAACGTTCAACTTCACCAGAGAACCATGAAGAGAAAGTGGACCACACCTGAAAGCATGTAGCCTCAAGCCTTCCATGATCCGTGAATGCCATGTTGTCGACACTGTTCCTGTCTTGTGATAAAAACCAGTTTCAGACCGTTCCGTGCAGCTTCACTTGAGCAAAGGAGGATTGCCAGGGACGGCAGGGGCAGCAGGATCTCGAGAAAATGGTGCAGAACCGAATAGCCGACTGTTTGACTTTACGTAGACGAATTATTATATAAATTAAAAGTGTAAATTTAGAGTTCTGTTCGCCCACATTCTCCCAAAAGGGCTCCCTCAAATGGGTCCATGGCACCATGTCGGAGCCACCATGGAAATCACACTAGAAAAGAACTGGATCATTGAAGTGATCCGTCGGGAACTGAATCCCATAACATGCAATTAAACAAAACGACATTGGTTTCCAGAATTTGTGAAAAGGTTACTGTCACCCCAGAAAGATTGTAATGATTTGTCCCACACGTGGAAGTTCCAGGTTTAAATAAACCATGGCTCATCTAAAGGCATGTATTTGTATCATTTCAGTGTAAGCTGCTGGCAATAGCCATCCACGAAGTAGTGTGACCGACTCTCTCTCTCTCTCTATATATATATGTATATTTATACACACACTTTTATTGATGAGATTCCGACTTCTGTTGGTCATGTCATTTTTTCAGGTGATCCACTTTTGTCGATTAACGTCGCCCACTTAAATTGGTTGGTCAACGTCACTTGTGGTTTTTGTTGCTTGAACCACCTTTTTCACTTGGCTAGACCAACACTGTTTTTGTCTCAAAGCAACATCTTGGCGGTCAGATCAGGTTCCAACAGATTTTCATCCAACTACTGGAATTCAACAACACACAAACACATGTATGTGATGTAATGTAATGTAATGTAATGCAATGCAATGCAATGCAATGTAATGTAATGTAATGTAATGTATGTAAGTATGTATGTACTGTAATGCAATGAAACGCAGTGTAATGTGATGTAATCTAAGGTAACGTAATGTAACGTAACGTAATGTAATGTAATGTAGGTATGTATGCATGTATGCATGTATGCATGTATGTATGTATATCTATATATATATACACGTATGTATATATGTATATGAGGACATTTTGTGTATGTGTAAAACCAAATAAACATGTTTATATAACGGTATACATAGATAGATAGGTAAATATACAGGTAGATAGATAGATAGGTAGGTAGATAGGTAGATAGATTGATAGATAGATAGATAGATAGATATGTATTTATAGATATAGATGTTGGTCCCATGTAGCCCACTACCATTGAGGCAGGTCCCCCAGAGCCAGCTGCTGCTTGGTGACACTAAGCCGGCCATTGCCCTAGGGTAAAGTAAGATAGATGTGGAAAAACACATGGTTACCTGAGGAAAACAATCTACACATATCTACCAATAGTGGATTTTCCACATCTATGTTAGTTTACCCATTGGGTACCTGGGAGGATACTTGATACATTTGTTGGGCGGATATTTCTTTAGGTCTCAGACCTTAGCCATGTTAAGCCTTGACTAAGAGAAAGGGAATCATGATGGTGATGATGGTGCTGGTGGTGCTGATGGTGATTGGACCAATGATGATAATTTATTCAATGACTTGTTTTTGTTTTCAAACATTAATGATCATTGATGGTCATTGATGATTATTTATGATTGCTGATGATTATTGATAGCTATTGATGGTTCTTGATGTCTATTGATGGTTCTTTCTTGATGGTTCTTGATGGGTCTTGACGGTTATTCATGGTGATGATGAGGATGATGGGGATTTAAACGCCATCATCTGGGGATGCTTAAAATTGGTGATCCCAAATACTGGCTTACAACAACCCTCCAAGATTAAGCCGGCAAATTTTGACTCAATCTCAAATGAAGCGGCTGTGGGGGAACCAAATGGGGATCCTGAAGTTGGACATTGCAAAGATCAAACCATCAATTCAGGAGCTTTCATGTAACTGGTTGGTGGTTTCAAGTATTCATTTAGCACATCAGTCGGATGAAGTTATACCCCAACCCGCGTTCCCAGTCACCACTAGGATGAGAAATCATTTTGAACATTTGTCTTTTATGAAACTTCACTACCAACTGGCATCGATAATGGGGGATTCTGATGGGTGTTTCATTGTTTCGGAGATGAAAGGTAACAAACCACAAAACTATATATAGATTGACTTTTTTTTATCAGATTTTATTTCCACCGTTTACTGCTAATTTGGCCCAGTCAAACAAGGGGAACCTACGAACCTACGAACCTGGACATCATCAACAGTAGTCCTCAATCGGCATATTACCTTACTAGGGCTTGGTCCGCTATGGTTTGAGGAGATCTAACAATGCTTGGCCGCTGGGGAAGCATTGTTGGACGGTCATCAATCCAAGAAAAACACGACAATTGCAAAAACACATGACATTAATGCAACAAATCATCATAAATCCAAGAAACACGGAATTCATATTGAATATACCCATGATTTCCGTGGATTTCAAAATATCGATGACCAGGGGCCGAGGCGCCCCAGCCCCATCGCAACTTGACACGTCCAGGTTCTCGCAACCCAACCTGCAGCTTGTTCGGGGGAATCTCAATACGCCAAGGACTTAGTGGCTTCAAACATGGCCACGGGGATTTCCCAGGCACCTTTTATGACACCGGAGAATACATACATGTATATGTATATATATATATATGTAATATACGCATGTATAGATGTATAGATGTATAGATGTATTGATGTATAGATGTATCTATTCATATCTATCTATATCTATTTATATCTATCCATATCTATCTATATCTATCTATATCTATCTATATCTATCTATATCTATCTATATCTATCTATATCCATATGTATATATA